GGTACATGTTATGGGACATTGCTGACCTAAGGAGCTGATTCGGGTGTCTAGTGTCACGGTTAAAAGCCCACGGTTTTTACTGTAGATTGACTCATATGCTAATTACAGATTAACTGATGATTTTAAAAATCAGCCTCAAACCATATTTGGAATTAGAATGTTTAATATTCTTAATGTCATAGTGAAAAATATAGTTTCCTATTTACATTCTTGGATAACAAATTGTATTTAAAATGACTTTGGTATAAAAGACTCAAAATGATTGTGAGTTCGATGAGGGTGAAGACTAACCACTAATCCAATAGAGCAAGGTTTTAAAACCATTGTGGCAAAGAAACACCACAAAAAGAGTGAAAGTGTTTTATTCCTTAAAACTTAAATAGTTTATACTGATTTTAAATGACATATTTAAGTAATAAAACACTTTCACTTAAAAGGTATTAGTTTAAGTATTTTATACTTGTTTAAAATAACACATTTAAGTTATCTGCTTAACACATATAAGTTAATGTCAATTAACCTCAGTATGCTGCTGGACTATGAGTGTGAAACCACTGGTAAATGTTTTATACTTATTTTAAAATATCACATAAACAAGAAGCGTTATGGGGTTTTCTTCCTTAAAACTTACTTTATACTTAATATAACACATTAACAATAAGAGTTTAAGTGCTTTCTTCCTTAAAATTTATTTGTTTAAATATTTTATACTTATTTCTAATAACACATTAACAAAAAAGTGTTTAAATTCATCCTAAATTCTCATTGGCAGCCCCTGTGTTGTTTGTAATAAAACCCAACCCAGTTGCTATACAGTATCTCAGTGTCTGACAGGCTGGAACCCTGTCTAACAGTCACTGAAGGCCCCGTGGTGTCAGTATGGGTGTGAGCATGTGAGCAACATGCACTGGCCCACGAGACCAGAGTGTTACAGTACTTCAACTCAGCCTTAAATCTCTTTGGCTAAATGATCTGTTCTAATTTGAAATGCTCTTTTGCTGATGAAATTTTTTCCCTTCGAAAGTGTTGCAATAGGAAATAACATGTCAACACATATTAACTTCAATTCTGAAACATTAATACGTTTGAAAGGCTTGTACCCTGGAATTTCCAACACTTGGTACCATCAAGCACTTTATTCCATCCACCTGTCTATACAGTACAGGCTGACAGAGAGTCTTGAGCCTCCAGCAGCCCTGGACACAAGGCAGTAGGTCACCTTGGCTGGGGAGTCAGTCCATTACAGGTCACCCAAATACACACACACGCTGTTTGTAATTTAGAGAAGGCAATTCCCAGAACCATGTGCTTTTGGACTGTGAGAGGAAACTGGAGCAGCTGTAGGTAACCCACACTACATGGGGGGGACATACAAGCTCCGGGGGGGCTCTTTAAACCCCCTACCCTGGAGGTGCGAGAGACAGCTGTGTTACACAATGAGCCCCAGGGACACCCTAGAACAGCGTTCTTCAAATTTGGACCTCGATTCCAAATCCAGGCCTTGTTTTCAGTTCTCCCAGGTAGTTAGTTTAATAATTACTGATTCTGATTGGTCAGAGGCTTCACACCTGACTGACAGGTAAAGGAAGGCTGGAAAACCAGCAGTGCTTTGACCTTGAGGACCATGAGTTGAATAACAAGACCCTAGAATATATTATTCCATTCATCCATCTTTTAGCAGCTTATCCTGGTCAAGATTTGGGGGTAACGTTCCATGATTCCAAAGTTTAAATGTAAATTCGTCTTGCTAAAGTTTTTTATTTCTTAAAACTTATTTAAAATAACATTTACAAAAAAAAACTATATTGGTTAAATATTTAATACTTATTTAAAATAACAGATTTTAATATAATAATATAATAATAACAGAAAAAAAGAGCTTAAGTACATTTTTTTTTAAACATTAGCGCATGGTACAGTGGTCTGACACCCCTTTATAGGAGGCCAGAACACATGTGAGTTAAAGCATTTACATTATTCCATAACTCTTGTTGGCTAAATGTTTTATAGCACATTTTATACTTATTGAAAATAACACATTAAGAAATACTGTTAAAGTTTTCTTCCTTAAAACAAGTCTGTTTGCGCCTGGTGTTTGTGATAGGGGGGTGGGTGATGTGTGACCCACCTTAAAACTTATGTCTATTTGTGCCTGGTTTTCGCAATAAGGAGGGGGTGTGGGTGCATGTGTGGTGGGGGGGTGGAGGAAGGGGGTACGTGACCTAGCTTGTGGCGGAATGCCATAGAAGCCCCACCCCCTTATGACATCACCACCTGCTAAGCTCTGCCCATACTGGAGCATAGTAACTTTCACCTTGCTATCCTGCCAAGCAGGTGTTAATAGGATTACTGAATATACAAAGATAATGTTATATAGCATAAGCACACTACAGGCGTGTGAATTTTTTAATTAAAATTTCTTTGCTACAAAAATCATGACAACTTCAATATCAGGTTGGTAACAGCAAACCACCGATACATGCGGTGTAGGTCCTATACAGGCATATCTCAGAGGGAGCTGGAGGTCACAAAGCAAACCTACTTTCAGCAACTCAGCTGTGATATCGCCATGAGAGACATGTGACTGACCGCTGGGTAAAGTGAAAGTCACACGAGAACCATCTATCACATACCAGCTAGTTTCCAGTCCCATTTTGCTAAGCAGACTGTAAATCCCATAAGAAAAATAGGGACAAATAAATAGGTCACACAGGACCTAGTCGTGATGCACTCACACATCTGCCTGCTACCACTAGAAGGTGCTATAGGACAATACCTTAATCTGACTTGTGCTCCTAGGAAGCATCCTTCTTCTTTTTTCTGTCATGCTTATTCTGTTTCTTTTTCCTTTTTTTCTTTGATTCGTCCTATGAGAACATACTTGAATAGTATGTTTTACTCTCATTTCTTTTTTTTCTGCAAGAATCTGATAGAGCTCTACAAACAGTGTATCAGGTTTGTGGGTTATGGCTGTTGAAATGAGGAAATTCATGCTTTTTGCAACTGGAAGTCACCTGACCAGACGAGGGTGTTGGTGGACCCCGTATTCACTAAAGCTTGGGATCAGGTACCCTCCACCTCGCAATCCATGAAGAGCTCATGCTCATGGCCCAGCCGACCCACTTGGTGAGATGATGTGAGCAGCACCCCACTTGGAGCTTCTCTGATGGCTGTACCGGGCCGAGGCAGGTTGCTGGAACAGGGCAGCTGCCCAGCTTTCTCGTTGACATTGCCAAGCCCAACTCACACTTGCAGTTGGACCTGGTGGCACAGCAACTTGGGAGACCCTGAGAAAGACATGGAGAGTCATCTCCTCCTGCATGTTGCTCAGGAAAGGAGGGTACCGTTGTCATGCGTAGATGCGGAGGTCCACAATGAGCATGCTCAGGGTCTCCTTCCTGTCTCCGCTGGTTCACCAGATTCCCTCGCTCTGCTTCCTCTATCGGCTGCTGATGTAACTGCTGTCCCGGCAGGGAGACACAAGCCTGCTGCTCCTTTGGGGTCAGCTGGACCACCATCTCCTCATTGCTCCAGCATTGTCCCACATTGTGAGGTGCACTTGAGTGAGGTAAAACTCCAGCAGCCGCTTTCTGCTGTAGTGGGGAAACTTCGGCATGGTCTTCATCCTAGCGCCTGCAGATTTCACCCTTGACTGCGCATCTTGCTGCTCCATCTAGTGGGGTCAGAAAATAGTGCACAGGGTTCCAGAAGCGTCATTTTGTTACTCACTACTGTGTGGCAAGTGTTTGCCACATTCTAATAATGAAGAATACTTTATAACCACTATTAACCATCTGGTTTCTTCAACTTCTTCCCCATCTGCCTCCAGGTGTTCCTGCTACAATGCCTGTTGAGGGGGAGGATGGGCTGGAGAACGTCAATCGGCGGCGGATGGACTGGGCCAAGGGTCTCTTGTCTCCCAAATCTTCAGCCACCCTGCCCAGGGGAAGTCACAGCCGCCGCCGCATCTGCTCAGCCTGAGTTGCCTGAGCCTGGCCCACAGGGGGCCGCACACCTTGACTTTGCCCTGCATCTCTGCCCAAGGCCATCCTTGCCCCGAGGCCAGGAAGTAAGGGATATAACCTTAACTTACCTCCCATAAGTAACTGATATAACCGTGTAATGTTTTATGGTAGAGTACGTGTTTGCGTTGGCGTCTAACCCGAGTGTGATTGCTACTCTTAACGTTGGCGGTGGGTTGGCTTCGAAGTCAGAGCTTCCATAACTTTTTTTAAAACGACCCAAAGAGACATGCCACAATATTTTATGTAATACATTAGATTTATATATTACCCAAGCTGATCTCATATTTGTTCATATAATTAATGAATAGTGAAGCCTCTTTTATCTCAGTTACGAACTATATTATTTGTTCATGATTTGTTAATATTTTGTACTTCAGTAGTAACTGAGTTAATTATTACTAAGTATTTATGCCCCGTCAAATGTTGCATATTTCCACTTTATTTGTTCAGATCAGGGTCATAATCTTCGTGGTTGGAATAAAAAGGGATTTACGAGAAAAATGGAAGTCGGAACTTCCGACTCGCACACATGCCACAATATTTGATATAATACATTGGTTTATGATTGTTTCCTGGGAGGGGGAGGGGTCTCATCTGGAAAATGAATTTGAAAAATACCTCTCATCTGGTTCCCTTTGATTTACTAATCTGGACTTTATCAGTTAAGCATTCTCTTATTTCAGTTGTATTTCCTTGCATTAGATCTATTGCAGAGAACAGTTGTGTTAACAATTCTGCAGTTAATTCCTCAATTTGCTTAAATTACGCTTGAAGTATTCAAATTTTAGGCGCTACTCTGTTCAAGGTAGGATCATTAGAAATTACATCTATAGTAACAGTGTACTCAAATGTGCTAAAACATTTTAAAATAAGAAACGATGAATGAAACTGTATACTAACGATACGCTTCATTTATAGCATGCTTCTTACCATAAAGAGTTAATTCTTATCCGCGTGCAGCATGGGGGTGTTCCCTTCTATTCCCCAGTTCTTGAGAAAGGAAGTTAAACCTTATCTTAGTTCAAACTTCACAGCACTGCTGCTATAGGAGGCTACTACAAAAACAAGGTAACATCTATATATCTTATCAGGAACGATTTATCTTAAAAGATAAACCGAAGTCAGATAAAATGGTAACACTTTATTTGACGGGGCACAAATAATATAGTACTATAATTATATTTCTCTTTTGTATTAATTAACTACAAAAAGTCTTAGTTACATACTGATCTCATGCAAATTCATCATCAATGAATCGTAATGCGTGTTTTATCTCGAGCAGTTACTATGTTTGTTACTATATCTGTTAATTCTGTAAGCATTTGTGAACTACTGAAATAAGTGCTGAAGGAAGAAGTCACGAATAACACAAGGGATGTATTGATCTGATACTTGTTAATCATTAATGAATCGTGAAGAATCTGATCTCGAGTAGCAACTATATTTGTTCATGATTTGTACTTCAGTAGTATCTGAGTTATTACTAAGTATTTCTGCCCAGTCAAGTAAAGTGTTAAAATAAAATTTAAAAAATCTGTTGCATATTTCCACTTTGGTCAGATCAGGTTCATATTCTTTGCGACTGGAATGAAAAAGGATTTACAAGAATATTCCTTGATATTCTGAGCTTAACAATAATGGCTTTCCAAGTTCTGTAGAACAGATGTTCTCGTGCTGTGAAACTGCCTATGTCAACGTAAGCCTATAAATAAAAGTAAGATGTATAAATGGCCAACCTTTATAGTCTTTATTGTTTTCTTCCCTTAGATGTTAGGTGCTGCTGCATTAGTATTGCTGATGGCAGGACTTTCTGTCTCTCTGAATTGTCCTGATGGAAAATACTGTCCTGATACCTCCACCTGCTGCAAGAGTGAACGTGGGTATGGGTGCTGCCCTTATCCACATGTGAGTTTCATCCATTTTATCCTGACTTAATGTACATTACAATGCACGTCTTCAACGAGTGCAATACTGCAGATAACTAATTTCGTGTGACTTGTGGTAATCATGACAAAAAGAGGAAATGGTAAAATCCTGACACTGATTTCAGCACTTCAGTGTGAGTTTTACATATATTTAGTTACATGAAATAGGTCATATGATATATATTCAGTATAAACCAGAAATATCAGTTTTTGTTTTCTTGTTTCAGTATGAGTAGCTGGAATGCTGTACTAGTGAAACCTGTCACCGACTTGCATCTCTAAACATTGAATGCCGGTTAGATATAGATTCTGTATGACGATTTACTGTTTTGTGGATGGATGGATGGATGGATGGAGAGTTGACAATACATTCAGTGCAATGGGGTTAGTACAGTATTACGTTTCATGTACTTGTGGCTGCAGGCAGTTTGCTGCCCGGACCTGTCTCACTGCTGCCCCGAGGGCTTCCAGTGCAACATGCAGACTCAGATGTGTGAGAAGTCGGGGCTGCAGGCCACGGCTCCAATGCTGATGAAGGTGCAGGCAGAAGAGCCCAGCATCCCCCTTGTTCCCCTGGGCGGTGCCTCTGCTGGAGGAGAGAACGCAGGGAGTCTGGTGGTGCGCTGCGATGCGACATACGCGTGTCCCGATGGAATGACGTGCTGCCATCACCCTGCGGGGGGGTGGTCCTGCTGTATCTACTCACCTGTAAGAGAACATCTGTCTGCCAGCTGAATTACCACATGTTCATTTCATTAACTATTAGTGTTAATAGTATGAACTATTAATAATGATACACATGCAGCTTGAAACCAAATGTAGAGATTTGTGTGATTAAAAACATGTATAATTTCTTTACAAGACTTATATACTGTAATATGCTCCCTGTTTATTTTGTTGGGTGTTTGTATCTCAGGCTCAGTGCTGCCTGGATGGTTACCACTGCTGCCCGTACGGCTACCAGTGTGACAGGACCTACACCCACTGTCTGAGGGGAGGGGTGCCTTACCCGTTTCTCTTACACAAGCCTGCCGCCACAGTTAAGCCCACTAAGGCTCCTGTGGTGGAGCCCAGGATGTCACCGGAGGTGAAGTAAAGTCACAGCTTTTGTTCCGGTTGCTGGTAGTCCCAGGCATTCTCAGAAACACCCGTCAAGCTTGCGTTTTGCTTTGCAGGATGAGTGATGTCCGTTAGGCCGGGGCAATCCAACAACACACCCCCCCCCCCCCCCCCCCCCCCCCCCCATGAGACGGGGCCCCACCCACGATTATGACGCCACCGGCCCATTTGGAGCTGCAGCCTATGTAATAACCAAGAGTCAGGGTGCAATGTGTCCATGAGCGATTTTTGGTTGGTCATATTCAAATAAAAAGGATTCAAATTTTTGTCTTGGCTTATTGTATGACTATGCATGAGTAACATGCAAAACATTATAAATAATGGTTCTGAAACTAAGAAATAGTGTGAGCATTGGCACATAAATTAAGATTTATTATCACTAGTGACTTTTCAAATGTAAGCCCCCCCCCCTTTTCTCAGATCCACATATCTGTCAAAGGGAGCAATACCAGGTATTAAATGTAAGGAGGTACTTATGTTTCCCCACAGAGAAAAGTTATATTTCTGTTGAATTTTGTTGATATCAATAAATGATTTCAAGTTAAACTGTTATTTTTGTTAGATTACATCCATCTATTAAAACTCTTCAAATGAAGACTAAATATTTGTTCAAATATGATTAAAATAAATATTTAATGAAATGTTTTTACTTTTTCACAAGTGTGTATGAGTACTGTGGTAGAAAAATCCATGATTATGCAAATCCAATGCAGATTCAGTCAGTAATTACTAATGAAACTTATAACATTGTTGATTCATATATGATGATGCAATGATTAATTTATGATTTGATACATTTAACGCGCTGAGCATATAATGCAAACTTGTTTAAGTATTAGGCTTTCATTTAGATAAAGGGAACTAACATATTTTAGCACAGGAGCTTGGTTTTGCAAAAGGTCAATGTCCAGACCTGATTCAAGAAGTAAGGCTGCTGCAGTAAACATTTATAAGAAAAGTGTCTATATTGGGAGTCAAGATTCGGGAAAAGAGAACTAAAGGAACGTACTGTATGGAGAAGTGAAATAAACGTGTTTTGAAGGACGTGATGTAATCACAAGAGTGATCATGAAAAGGTCAAATTGTTTTTGCCTAATAATGAATTGAGTTTAACAGAAGTAACTGGTGTCTGCAGATATCTGACCCCTACATAAACTGTACCCTACCTTTGGCTATTAAAGATGTAAGCACTTGTTGTTCGGGGAGCAGATCACGAAACGCATGAAAGACTGCTGAGTGTCTGTTCCCCCAAAGCATTGCGGTAATGAAGTGTTGTTAGACTGGTAAACAAATCGGCTTCTTTGAAATTTCTACCACAGTACACACACACACACCTACACACTCATTGGCCACTTTATTAGGTACACCTGTTCAGCTGCTCATTGAAGCGAATATCTAATCAGCCAATCATATGTCAGCAGCACAGTGTAGAAAATCATGCAGATACAGGTCAGGAGCTTCAGTTAATGTTCACATCAAACACCAGAATGGGGAAGAAAGGTAATTTAAGTGACTGAAGGTGGCATGATTGTCGGTGCAGGATGGGCTGGTATGAGTATTTCAGAAACTGCTTATCTACTGGGATTTTCACACATTTTCACCCATCTCTAGGGTTTACAAAGAATGGGCCAAAAAAACATCCACTGAGTGGCAGTTTTCTGGGTGAAAATATACCTTGTTGAGTGCAGAGAAGAATGGCCAGACTGGTTCAAGCTGATCCAAAGGCACCAGAACTCAAATAACCACCTGTTACAACCAAGGCTTGCAGAAGAGCATCTCTGAACGCACAACACAAAACTTGAAGTAGATGGACTACAGCAGAAGTGGACCACACCAGGTGCCACTCCTGTCAGCTAAGAACAGGAAGCTGAGGCTACAGTGGGCACAGACTCACCAAAACTGGACAATGGAACAATGGAAAACGTTGTTGGACAGATGAGTCTCGATTTCTGCTGCAACATTCAGGTGGTCGGATAAAATTTGACGAAGCAAGTATTTCTGGTTAATACGTACACAGGTGTAGAAATATCTGAACGCGGTATTGCTTTTGTAACCAAAACAAATTAATTAAAATCGATTTCACAGTAATTGTTTAATTTCGGTTTCATTTTTAAAAACGATAGCGGGGGACATTTATGATGTTATTTACAACAAAGTAAATGGGACCCGGTGCGGCGTTTCCATGGTAACGCCGACAAACACGGTTGGTTAACAAGCAGCAAACATGTCTGAAATGTCGGCAATGGACAGGAAAATCATTCAAAATCTTGCAGAAACTCTTTCCCGACAAGTCAAGCACTGTAAGTACCCGAATCAGAAACGTATAATTCGTTCTTTTCAAATTTACATCAGTACTTGCAACGCCATAATTTACCTTAAATTCAACCGGTCAAATTTCTTTGTGAGATTATTTCTTTAATAAATCGTCGGTTGCGCTACGTTGCAGAAAATTTAAGCTCTATAATGCATTATTCGACAAAATGTAACAAATTTTCACTTCATTATGTAATTGCACCCGCATTTTGTAATAGTTTGAACACAATATATCATAAATTTCCCAGCATTTTGTAATAAATTATTACATATTGCAGCGGTTACTAAAAATGTGGGAGTTGCACTTTTTAATGATGAAAATGTAATGTGCATTATGCAATAAACAGCCAAGATGTCCTCATTGACACTTTGTCAAGTTAGTATACATAATGTGTTGTAGCACACGCTAAAAGCTGGACCAACGCTCTGCTTAATATTGAGCCATAATGAATATGGAATAACACACGGTTTCCAATATATTTATATGAAATAAAGGAACAATTTTACCATATGCAAAAAAAAAAAGTGTTTTTGACAAACTTCATGTTAATACGGGAGGTCTGTCCCTCAGCGGGTTAAGAGAGTGTGCTCCGCATTTACCCCGACATTACTCCCTGGACTGTCTGAGCCTAATTTCTCAATTATATCCCACTATGGATAAGAGTGAAATGTAAACACATTACTGTCAGTTTAGGAGAAATGGTGTGTCAGTCTGATTGTTACAATTTCCCTACTATGTTATAAATAATGACCCAAGTCTTTAACTTATTCATTCTTTAAGTATTTGGTTTCAGAACTATTCTGACATTAAATAAACTTCCCTGACCGCAGTTAACAGGACGGAAGCAGAGTGTCTAATCAGACTGTTCAATGGACGGTTTGGGGACCAGAATGATCGGAAAACAGGACATGGCCTGGATCGAGGAAAATTCAGAAACATATTACACAACACATTTGGGATGACAGATGACATGATCATGGACAGAGGTGCAGTGCAAAACACTTTGTCACAAAGATGTGTAGAAACAACTGATGTAACCATTAACATCACTTTCTTTTAAATAATGTTTAAGAAACACGGTCTTAAAGTTTGGCTGGGAAAACCATTTTCTAGTCATACTATTCAGATACACATTGGATGGCTTCCCCAACTACAGATTTTTTATAAAGCTCTGCTTCCTTCCCACATCTTCCAGTTTTCCGGGCATTTGACAAGGATAACGACAGTTATATCAGCGTGAAGGAATGGATAGAAGGTTTGGCCGTGTTCCTGCGTGGGACCCTGGATGAAAAAATAAAATGTAAAACGAACCTGGCGCATTACAAGGATATACTAAAACATTAGCATACAGCATGTTTATTGTATTGTATTCTGTTTAATTGACCTCTTTAGACAGCTTCAATGTCTATGACTTGAATGGAGATGGATACATATCCCGGGAGGAGATGTTTCACATGCTGAAAGACAGCCTGATCCGGCAGCCGACAGAGGAAGACCCAGATGAAGGAGTCAAAGATCTAGTGGAAATTGCCCTCAAGAAAATGGTAGCGTGCATTTTGAATTTCATACAGACATAAACGGCTTTACAAAAACTGTGCCCGTCTTATTTCCGAAATAATTAAAGGGTACGTTTGTTACCAGGATCATGACCACGATGGGAGACTGTCCTACACTGACTTTGAGACAGCTGTGCGAGAAGAAAACCTCTTACTTGAAGCATTTGGACCGTGTCTTCCAGACGCAAAGGTAACACTAAGCTTCACGCAACGCAATGAAGACAACGTGTCTTACAATAGACAGACGTGACATCTGAAACTCCCGTGTCTTCTTTTGCAGAGAATCTGTGCATTTGAACAGCAAGCGTTCCAGAATCCTCCGGAACACTGACTGCAGCAAGTGTTGTTCCCAAGCTACATTTTTTACTAAGTGCATATATGCAATCCACATGTTCAGTGGGACACTTTATTCTGGTGCGGCCAATCCATCTATTAAATTCTCCTTCTTGGTTTTTCTGCAGATTTCTTTTCTGTTGACTTGTGCTCCGGGACAGATGAAATCTACATAGTAAATGAGATGAATAAATGATTAGCCAAAAGAAGACTGTTAATGTCAACAAGGACTGGGCTACAGTAGTTCCCACACAGTAAACAGTAAATGTTTAACAAGTTGTCTCCCAGGTGATATATCACTCATAAATCACCAATATGCCTTGAGCCTCAGTTTTATTCATTCTGAAGGGGTGGTAATGTGTGCTTCATACACATTTGCTCACAAGAAGCAAAGGAGTACATTTTTGGTAGAATCAATTTAAATAATTTCAGTATATTGGGGGAATGGAGGGGAATAACTGTTTTGGAATTAGCTTACATCTACAAACACCTAAAGAATTATCAATTTTTACATGAATAAGCACCCATGAGCTGTTTTTGGGGGACACATGCAAATACACCTTTACAGTAGCAGGTGCAAACAGTATTACATTTACTGTAAAGTTCGGGTTTGTCATAATACATGTCTGCTCATCAGCACAAAACCCACCTTTTTCATGGTGTTTCTGATTAAACCAGCTGTGATGTTTAAGGAATTATCCTCCATATCCAGTTTAGGTGGTTCCGGTAGTTTTGGTCCAATCAGAGTTTCACATTTGCCCCCAATTCCCGAAAACAAAGTCTTACTGGCTTCTTCAGCTTTCCGTTTTCTGTTCTCTAAATGTGTCGTCCTCGGTATAAATCTGGCAGCAGGGAGCGCCCCCCTCCGCAGTGTGTTTTCATGATAGGAAGGTTTCTGCACTGTAAAGGGAGGGGGCTGCTCACTTGAGTCCATAAAATGGTACTTTGATCCCATGTTGTCCTCCCCGGCTGTGAATTTCACCAATGTCTGTTCAGAATAGGGTGGAAATCGCTCTTGCGGAGGAGGGGGCAATAGAGGATATCTGAAACTGCTAAAGTCACTTCTGTCACCTTCAACACAAGCCTCTATGGATTTCTGAGTTTCCAAAGCAGTCTGTCCCATTGTGGCTTCTTTGCTTTTTTCACCCTGGTTTTGATCAGTCTTATCCAGTTCTTTCACTGTAAGGAGAAAAATGAGACACCTTTTTGGTTTCTAAGTATAATGTAAGCAAGTACTGTGGAAAAGCCTGTTTGTTTAGAAGTGTGCTATACATTTTTACTACTAGTAGTAAAACCACAATATGCATTTTCTTAATTCGAATAGTTCGCTATTTTACCTTTGTTATGCAACGACCAAGCAACATATCGCCTCCTGTCCAGTAGTTTTTCCCTGGTGTCCTCAACAGTTTCATACTCAGGGGCGTAGCACACATGAAGTAGTCCTCCAAAGAAACTCCTTTCATCGAGATTTCTTTTTGCCGCTCTATATGACCACAATGTTAAAAGCAATGATATATTACGTCCACTATAGCTACAGCACCAGTATATAACATAACCAGTTCTAACTACGGGCGAGTATACCGCCGCTTACCTTGCACTCTGGATTTTCTGCAATCTAATTAAATACACTTCAGTAAATTGCTCAGCGGGGTACTCGTCCAGCACTCTGTATTCCTCGATCACCCCATATAGTGCAAAGAGCTGCACCAGTTCAGACATCACTCCGATGGCTGGGACACCTTGTACCATCAAATAACGAGATTCAAGATTGATCGTGTACACCTGAGAAAGAGAAAATACAACAGAACAGATTAGGATAACATTAAGCAGATTATGCATCTATTAGGCGGGCATTGTATAATTGGTGTAGCCAACCAGGTACCTAAAACAAACCCCAGGTCTTCGGGTTGAAATTCCTGAAATGACGTACAATACTAACTGAATAACGGAATAAAAACTAATATGTATTTTGAATACTTACTTTAACTGCCTTGGGTCTCCTCCCTTCTCTATATGTGGGTCTCGTGTGACAAACTGACTGCTGTTCGTGGTGTTTTTGAACTTCAGGGGTACTCCAAACCGAGCTACTACCGGGAGCTGCCATTTTCCAGCTATTCCCCTGAAAGGGACAGTTAATCGAGTGTCTGAAGCATCAACACGTCTTTGATGATCCTCCAATCTACAACCGGGCCGCTGGTCACATGTAGACAATCTATCCAATGGACGATTGATCCGATGTTGAAAGCGAAGGCACGTCCAACAGGGCTGTAAGCCCGGGACATAAAAGATGGAAAATATACATGGCAATTACTTGGTTAACAACGCGTGATTACAGTAGTGTAGGAAGTAGAATAAGAACTTAAACAGCGAATAGTTCTAAAGGATATTTCCTGCAATGATTTACTTCAACATAAGGATCGATGCGTTCTTCTCTCTATTTCTTCGGCCTTTCTCCCCTGTCACAGGGACCCCGGAATCACAACAGGCGGACGGGAAGCAGGGTAGCGGTGGGTAGGGTTTGCATGTTAACCATGCTGGGTGGTCAGGGGATTCAGCCTGTCAGTGTGGCCTTTAACAACGCGAAAAACTGTTTCCTCCACCTTCCTCCAGCGTTAGTTTCACAGCTATCTCTCCAAGAGGTATGCTATGGCGTCCTATGGTTTTATTGCGGCGCAAGTAGTTTGGTAACTTGTTAATACATATCCAGATCGGTGTTCTGTTAAATAAATAGTGAATGAGCTGCGAACCTCTTTTGTTTGATATTGTGCACGTAATTATATAGCAATGGTATTACAAATTATGTATATTACAACTATAACTAAGGTGACAAACTTATGTTCAATCAGGGTCAGGCTGTGGAGCTGTCCGGGGGTCTCTGTACGCCCGTGTATCTCAGCTGGACAAGATGTCAACACAGGTTGAACAAGGAAGAAACCACTGTGGAGGTGAACAGGCAACTTGGAGAGAAGCTTGGGATCAAAGATGGGCAGCAGGTGATTCAGCACTTTGATCAAATCCTATAAGGTGTATGAAAACAACAGAATGCATCTCCAGGACCTTTCAGGGCAATCCCTCTCTGTTGGTGGAAAGTACATGTCCAAAAAGTACAAATCCAGACCAAGATTTTGTTTCAACCAACCAGTTGAGTACTCTGTGAATGTGACTCTTTATATTCAAGTGTTTGGTTCAAACAAAACCTTGGTCTGGATTTGTACTTTCTGCACCTGAACTATCCACCTCTGTTTAATACAATGCAGAGATGTCAGCATGTCACAGTTACCTCATTCAAGCCTAAGAGGCAAGCTGTAAGAAACCCTGCATCATTGGTGGCTTAACTAACTGCTTTTTTGTGGTGTTGATTATTATCTTATGTGGTTTATATTTTTATAATGCCTGGACTGTTTCTTGGGCTTTTTTGTACTTGATTTGATTAGAATAAAGTTTCTTTAATGTGGTTTACAGGGATTTTTGAGGCCGTGTTACCAGGTTCTCTCTGTTCAACAAGTTTTTGTGGAACCTCTTTCTTCAGATGATTGGGAGATACTGGTCAGTTTTCTATTTTGCATGAATAATTATTTCATTTTGGACCTTATGAACAGAGCTTAATGTCTTTCTTTTTCTGAGGGGGTCAGACTTACCCCTTAATACCTATGCCCTCAGGAACTTCACAGTTCAGCACTTGAGCAGAAACTTCTGGACCAGATCCGGGTGGTGTTCCCTACGGGTGTGTTCCCTGTGTGGGTGGAGCAGCATACAATCATCTATATCAGAATAGGTTGGTGTGAAAACCTTCCCTTGTGCAGGTGAGATTCCCAGAAGGTGGCACTCTAACCTCTCTTCCCCTCCTGCAAAACAGGTTCTCTGCGACCATCTGTTCCCTTTGGCCGCCTCGAGCAGTTCACCGAGCTCATTGTCTCACCAAAGTTACGTGGTGATATCTCCGTAAGGCCAGGGACGAATCGCTTCCCAGATACGGACCAGAATCAGCTCTTGAAAAAGAACTATGACGTTTCAGAAACCATGTCTTCTCTGGCTGGGGATACACAAAAGACCAGTAGAGATTTCCTGCAGGGCCTCCATGAACAAGCGGATGGTGATTCACAAGGTGGAATCACTGACTTCAAAAGCCTCATTAGGTACATGTTCACTGGGAGCTTCAGCCCCAAGATGGAGGTGCCCTCGGTCCCATCAGCGTCTCCCGTCCTGAGGGACTCAGTTCTCAGAGTGTGTGGGAAGCTGCCCCCCTTGGCCAGCTCTGAGGGAGAGATCCATATTTTTCCCTGGGGTCACGTGGTGGAGAAGCAGGACAGAGGGATGTCTGCTGTGACTTATGGTCATCTCAGAAAGCTGCACTCTGCCAGGGAGCTCAAGGAGGAAGGCCAACGGCCCCCTGAGAAACAAAGCGGCACCAAGGAGAGAGCTTCCCCTACTGGAAAGGACCAACGGGGACCCCTAGTGGTGCGGATGGTTTGCCACTGTGTGGACCTGCTATTGCAGGGACGGAGTGGTGGAAAGGGGAAAGCCCTGTACAGTGGGCGAGTCTGGGTGAGGAAATTACCATCAGAATCATTCTGCGAGTCACATTATCTTCCATTATGTGATTGCTAGACATCGCCGTTACACTCGAATTGATGCGAATGCATTTTGAGTGTTCAGTCTTTAAATTCATGTGGCCTATTATCTGGTAACTCTAGGAAAAAGATGCACGTTTTATTTAATTCTGTACGCTTTCTGCAATTTCCAGATCCCAGAGCCCTTGAGAAGAAGGCTGAATATCGAATTACATTCGGCTGTGAGAATTCAGCCATTAAAATCAACTCCTAGAATAGGGTCTGCTGTCAGATTACAGCCATTACAGCCACTGGTGAGTCAGACATTTTTGTATTTCAAACATCCAGTTGAAGAAAAATCTATTTTTATATACGATCATCCTTAATTCCAGCTCCCAGCCAAGTAAATTTCTCCAGCACCCGCAGTTTGTGATCACATCTTTTTCTGTCGTTTAAATCCCTATAGCCACAGCACATGAGCGAGGCGAATGTGCAGTGTGCTTTCCTGAGCTGGCTCGGCGCTCAGAGCAGCAAGGAGCTGGCCTTTCTCACCGGACGCTCCAGCTCCATCCAAATGACTGTCACCGAAGGTCAGCCGAGAATCAAGCTGCGTTGGTCAGCATCCAGTTCAAACCGGTTTAGGATGACGGCTCTTTCTAGCTCAGACCGAGAGAGCCGGGCATGTTTTTAGAGTTTACCAGGAAGACACTTTCATGCAAAGCCACATTAACGGACACACCAAAACTAGTTGGTGAAATTGTTTTTCCTGTGTGTGCTTGCATACGTGTACTAATAATTACATTGTGGGCTTTTTTGAGTGCAATCAAAAAACTAAAAATGTCAAAAATCTTGTATCCATTACCGTTACACTTAAATTGATACAAAAGTATTTTGAGTTCAGCTTTTAAATTCATGCTGCGTATAATCTGGTAACTCCAGGAAAAAGATGCACATTGGAATCATAGCTCTATGTAGCTCCTTACATCTGTCCGTCTGTCTATCCAGAGAATCTTCCCCAGGGACTAGACCGTACTTAACATAATGCTGCTGTCCAATGAAAAACGTGTTTCTTCAGAAATCCATTATTCCAAGAACATGGAAAAATGCATTTTCTCCTAAACTACTTTACAAAATAAACCTAAAAGCACATAATGAGGCACTTTTAGCACCACAAATAGAAACCTGTCTTTACACAGTTGCCGGTGAACAGTTTGACATTTTAAATGGACTTGTGTGGATTGTTGTCAGCTAGGCAAATATGTCAGTGTAAACAACATACAACCTGATCTCACTTTATATTTCCAATTAACAATGGTGTTAGTCAGCTAGCTATCAAGGTTAAGTTATTAAAATAAGTGATGATATGTAATCCATAGAAATGCACATCAAGAATACAAATGTTAGCTGCTGAAAGCTAAACGTTATAATTGACGACACACAACACCAAAACGCATCCTCTGTGTTTAACCCATGTGTGACATTGCTGGGGGGAGGTAATTTAGCACCTGGGGAGTAGTTCCTTGCTGGTCAGGGATCCAAACCAGCAACTTTTCAATTACAAGTGTGCTTCCCTAACCACTAGGCCACCACTGCCCACAAACATAAATATTAGAAATACTAGTTTTACATGTCAAACATAGTTCATACCACGTCACATTCAAATTAGCTGATAATTTATGAGTATTTGTTCCATGACCTGCCACTCTCGATTTCCCTTACAGAAAATTTTGAGTTTTCCTTGACGGTGCTGAAGCCAGAGCTTGAAGCAAAGAAATCTGAGGAGGTTTTCCTGTTGACCCCGAGTTTATTACAGAAAGCGGACGTCCAGGTACACGCGGCTGTCACCAAGACGTTTAAAATGATTCATCTTGCAGAGGGAAGCACAAGACAGCTATTTTGAATAGAGAATTGTTTAAGTCCATCTGAGAAAACATGTCTGTAGGATGCACAAATTATTTATATATATATATATTTGAGTTGTATACAAACAGATTCTACAGGAAGTACAGAATAATAATAATAATAATAATAATAATTCCCCAGTCAGCTCTCTACATATAAATGCATTGATGCAAAGGAATAGTGGTGGACAAATGATCCTGGTCCAGTGATCTCACTGTTCAAATCGGGGGGCTGAGTGACCCAGTGAATCTATTCTGCAGACGGTGCTAATATCTATCTCCTCACTGCGTGAGATATTCTATTACATATGTCTGGTGTGAATTTCTAGATTGTGAGGGACGTGCTGCCCGTGAACGCTGAGAAGACTGCTGATAATGACCAGCGCCTCACCTTCCCTTCTCTCGAGAGCTTGGGGTAAGGAGCAGTTCTTAAGTAGCTAATTAAAGAAAAGAAAACGGTTACCTCGCATTACATGAGGAAAAAGTCTTTAAAGATGTAAGCTTTTTCAATTTCAATTAGCTGCTGTTTTCCCCTGGCTGTCTCTATGATCATAACTCCACCCACCCACAAATGCTCCACACAAATTCAATGGGGGACAGTATTGAAAGCCCCATCCCAGGAGGCTTCACGACATAAACACCTGATAGCTTTTGCTCCTCTTGTCTCCAGAGGGGTGCAGGAGATCTGCGGGGCAGCCTTTGAGCA